GTCTATATCCGTGCTTTTTCTTGTCCAATGGTAGCAGAGTAAATTTAAAATCTTGCTGAAAGATGCCATTGTAGATTCTGCAGAGTGACCAAACTAAGTTTGAAATATTGAATCAAGATGGCTTCGGATTTTCACCCTTGCTTCACATGCTGAAAGATATAACAAAACAATTCTTTTAATCAGAGCAAAGTGATACATACAGTTGTCTTGTGCATTTTGAAACTCTTTTTTGAAGAAAAAAAAAAGTGAGTCATGAAAAATCATAATAATACATACACTAGGTCAGAATAAAGAATTGAGGGGCTGGGCAAAATAACCCAAGAACTGACAGTTGGAATATGATTAATGCTCTAATTGTTTTAAAATTTTAAATCATAATAATTAAACAGATTTTGCCGTTTGTGTCTTTAAGGCAAGTAATTAATTAGCATTGAAAATGTATCTTAAAATTTTCTACACACATTTCAAATTTTGTATTTTCCTTCAACATGAATGTATTAAAATAAGAGTATGATATGCAGTAGCTGAAATAAGAGACTAACACACTTCTTAATCATAAGTCGGTTAATTAGTTGTTCCATCCTTTTTTTCTTAGTTTTAAAAGCATTAAAATATTGTGCAATATACATACAATGTTAATATTCTTTATGTAGTAGGCCTTACACACACATTATTGATTAATTGATAACCTCCACCATTAGTACTAGTGAGTTCCTATATTTAAAGTGTTAAAAACTTGAAACTTAAAAAAAAAATTATTCACCTTTGAAAGTCAGGTAATTTCCTGTTTTTCCGACTGCCGCATTAAGGCTTTTAAACAAACATCAACGCTTTCTTACTTCATGAGTTTTCACTGAGAAAAATTCCTTTACCAACAAATTCTGAAAGAAAGTCAACATATAATGATTTTTTGATATTTTGTTTTGCAAACCCACTGTTGATGAAAGTAAGGATTTAAAATAAAAATAAAATTTATTTTTGATTAGTTAGCTCACCTGCTGCCGTGAATTGGAAATTGAGAAAAAAAAATGTTTATTCTGTTCTGTAACATTAATTTACCAGAATGAAATCTTAATTTGTTCACATAAATTAGAAGCATTTAACAGATCAATGCAAATTGTTGTAAATACGAGGGAGTTGTTGGTAATAATGATAATAATACCAGTAGCATAGGCCTAGCCTATAGAGGCCTATGCCTCTATAAAAATCATTAAAATAATCATATCATGGACTTTTTTTTACAATAATAAATAAGTGAGAACACAGCCCAATTTACCACACTCCAATACTTCCATTATAGGGCAGGCCGAGCCTAGCCCTCTTTGGCATATCCTCAGTTCTGTCTTTTCTTATTAACAGGCCTAGGCTAGACTCGGAGAATCATAGTATGCTTGTTATTCCCTAGGCCTAGGCTCCTAATCCTATGCCTAGAGATCCAATCCAAACCAATTCAATTTTTGACTTAAAAAACGCATTATACTAAGCCTAAATGCGCCAATTTAAACAACATTAAATGAATATTAATATAAAACAATTCTTACCTATTGGTACTGCTGAAATACTTCAGAATGTATGGTTATGCCTGCAGTTTTATCATCATGAATGTGCACTGAGAAAGAGATCTAATCCACTAACAAATTTCAGTTAACTGATAACATTCAAAAAAGCACCTTTGTTAATTTCCATGGCCTTCAGTGATAAACATGGATAAAGTGACCAATCACATTGGTGATTTGAGATTATCCATGGTTGGCTGAACAGCTTAAATGACAACATCTGTTATTGTTAGCTTGTGTTTTAAAGTTGTATGTTTTATTATGTTATATTATTTTAGTATAGTCCTAGACTTTGGCTATGTATTGTTAATTATACTGATGGGATTTTCATAATATAAATTTATTTTTCTTAATTATTTCAGCAGAACAGGGAAAATCTCCCAAAAATATGACAATTTAGAGGTTTCAAAGGCTTAGAAATAATGTCAAAAGTAGGCCCACATATGTATTTTTTATCAAAGAGCACAAAACACCCCCCCTCCCCACTAATACCACCCCTGTAACAGAAGCAAGAGATGATAGGGCCACGTGGGCTGTCCAGAACCCTTTGACATTCCAGGGGAAGGGAAAGAATCCCTGGAAGCAAAGGAAACTAGGGCTAAATTAATTTTTAAATTCTTAATTTTTGTTTTCTAAGTCTGCTTCTAATAAAAATACTACGGAAACACGATTCATATAACATTCTAATAATAAAGCTAAATGTTCCTATAAGATTTATAATAATACCTATAGGATTCCCATAAGATTATCATAATAAACCTATAAGAATTGTGTAAGATTATCATAAACCCATAGAATTCTTTTTTTAGTCTAATAATATACCTATAGGATTCCTAGAAGATTCTAATAATATACCTATAGGATTTCTATAAGATTTCAATGATATACCTATAGGATTCTTATAAGATTCTAATAATAAACCAATAGGATTCCTATAAGATTTTATTAATACGTCTATAGGATTTCTATAAGACTTTATTAATAAACCTTTAGGATTCCTATAAGAGTCTAATAATATATCTATAGGATTCCTATAAAATTTTAATAATAAACCTATAGCATTCCTATAAATTTTTAATACTAAACCTATAGGATTCCTATAAGATTTTAATAGTAAACCTATAGGATTCCTATAAGATTCTAATGATATACCAATAGGATTCTATAAAATTCTAAAAATATACCTATAGGATTCCTATAAGATTCTAATAATATATCTATAGGAGTCCTATAAGATTTTAATAATAACCCTATAGCATTCCTATAAAATTTTGATAATAAACCTATAGGATTCCTATAAGATTTTATTAATAAACCTATAGGATTCCTATAAGATTTGAATGATATACCAATAGATTCCTATAAGATTCTAATATTATACCTATAAGATTCCTATAAGATTCTAACAATATACCTATAGGATTTCTATAAGATTTCAATAATATACCTATATGATTCTTATAAGATTCTAATAATAAACCAATAGATTCCTATAAGACTTTTTTAATACATCTTATAGAATTCCTATAAGATTTTAATAATAAGCCTTTAGGATTCCTATAAGAGTCTAATAAGATTCTAATATTATACCTATAAGATTCCTATAAGATTTTAACAATATACCTATAGCATTCCTATAAAATTTTGATAATAAACCTATAGGATTCCTATAGGATTTTAATAATAAACCTATAGGATTCCTATAAGATTCGAATGATATACCAATAGGATTCCTATAAGATTCTAATAATATACATATAGGATTCCTATAAGATTCTAACAATATACCTATAGGATTTCTATAAGATTTAAATAATATACCTATAGGAATTTTATAAGATTCTAATAATAAACCAATAGGATTCCTATAAGATTTTATTAATACCTCTATAGGATTCCTATAAGATTTCAATAATAAACCTTTAGAATTCCTATAAGAGTCTAATAATATATCTATAAGATACCTATAAGATTTTAATAATAAACCTATAGCATTCCTATAAAATTCTAATAATAAACCTGTAGGATTCCTATAAGATTCTAATATTTGAACCTATAGGAATCCTATACGATTCTAATAATATACCTATATGATTCCTATACGATTCTAATAATAAACCTATAGTATTCCTATAAGATTCTAATATTTGAACCTATAGGAATCCTATACGATTCTAATAATAAGCCTACAGTATTACTATAGGATTAGCGTAATATACC